AGTGAAGAAAAAGACAGAGAAAACGCTTCATAGAATTAGTAAGAAATATAGAGAGTGAAGTAATGAAACTAACCAAATATGAAAGAAAATTGGGGGCAAGGAGGATGAAGAGAGAATGAGAAAAGATCAGAAAGGAAAAGAAAAGATAAATGGATAAGTGCGGTGCAGCTGAAGGGAAGGACAGAATTTGGAATATTGTTTAAACGATATGGTACTCGTTAAGTTAAATAGGAAAGTGTAATTAGACCTGATAGATAAAAATTCGTTGGTTTAACCATCAGCTAACTTGATTATCTAGTCACTAGGAGAAGTGAACGTTGCAATGCTGGCTGGTAGCGATGTCAAACACAAATTTATTATCTCGTGGCTAGATACTGACGTACCATATGTCAATTTCTACTAAAGTAGATACAGTTACCTGCACCGGAATTTCATGCGGGCTCAGTGGTCTCCGCTCGCCCCCTCCCCCCTCCTAACACCACAGTGAGGAGTGCGTAGTGCAACTGCAGTTCCGGTAGCCGGTGGTACCAGATATTTAATCTATAACTGAATAACAGTCGGGATATCGTGCGGGAATGCGTTGCAGCCGCGGCGACCCCAACTAGTTTTATCGCCATCAATAATAGCATAATTTAATGGCTCGCGAACGTTCTCAATCCTCGGGAACGGTATCGATCAGGTGCGACGCGTTTCACGGTGTTACGATCACGCGGCCGCCGCAGTCCAATCAATTTCCTCACGATCTCGAAATCAAATTAATTCTACGCTCGAGATTAACGAGTCGCTTGGGAGAAATCTCTAACCAAGTTTGAGTTCAGGTAAAGCAATTAATGATGAATATTCAAAAGAATAGCTCATCCTTAGCGGAATCCTATTCTACACGAAGAAGATTTTATAAAATTATTATAGGACTCTTTGTAACCGAGGAATAGATCAGAATTCTACAATAATTTACTTATCCTTTCGTTTCACATGCGCTACTTATATTTTAGGAACTGAAATGTACTATTGAAACATTTGCTATGATTCTAGCGATATCTGCTGTATTTTTAGATTTATTATGTTTCTTAACAATTTTTCTCGAAGATGCAGAGTGGATAATTCGCTCTATATGAGTGAAAAATCGAATTTACGTGATTCGATGATCGTTCTACTTCTCGTGTGAAATTTCACTCCAAGAAATTTAGAGAGTAAAGTATGGGAAATAACGCCTTGCAATTAGTTCCTTTCTTTAAATGTTAAGGTACCAAACCGAATTAAAAATTTTCGTTTTAGAGAAAAGAATCTTCTTGAGACCGTAACATAAGATGATTCCGCTAAGGATGAGATTATATTGTTTTGGGTGAATAAAACTGGATATTTTATGGTACGTCAGAGACTGATTGTCACTTGGTGCAACAACCCCCAATCAAGCTCGACCCGATCAATCTTCATCCACTTAGTCGAGGGGTCGCTGGCGCGCGCGGCGCACGTCGCGTCAGCACCCGGGTTCCCGTGCACACGTGTGCGTGAGTATAGCTTTGGACCCGCCTACACGTGGTTCATTCGTGGCCGCAATGGCCGCTATCGGTATCCCCGATTCTACGGTCGGGCTTCCAAGCACTGAAGGTGGAGACGCGTCTGCGCGTCTCGCACCTCTCTCTTTCTCCCACGTGTCAGGCGCCTTTATTCAGGCAGTTTTCTCTCACTCCGACACGTGGACTATCATTCGATCCCCTCCATTGCACGCGGCAATTCCCCTTTCTTTCGAAGCGCCGCGCTTCTCTCTGTCTCTGTTCCTCTTTAGCTTTCATCAGCCGAAGACTCCCCCACTCTACGCGCGACCGTGCGTTCAACCCTATAAACTAGCCCCGAACCGGAGGAATTAACTACGAATTGTATCTTAATGAAAATATCAAAGAGGTCTTCAAGAGAATTCTCCACTTGTGGAGAAATCAAGAAAATAAACAGAAATACCCTACGATATAAAATTATACTCTAAAAGAGACGAGCTGAGAGAGACAGAGACAGAGAGAGAGAAAGAGACCGGGAGTGGAACGCGTATGTGAATGTACAAAGAAGATCCATAATGGATAATATGGATCCTCAGAGAATTTATTCTAAAATGTTAATAAATGCTTTTCCTCTCTCTCTCTCTCTCTCTCTCTCTCTCTCTCTCTCTCTCCCTGTCGCCTCTCAGCCTCCTTCCCTTCCCCTCAACGCAAATGCATCTCGGTGCTTTCTCCTCTTGCGCGAGCTATACGTCGAAGACGGCCATAAATTACCTACCCTCCGCTCTTCAGAGGCTGGTTCCTGGACCCGTTGCGGAGGGCCGACTCATGGAACGTGCCGACCATGGCGGCACTCTCCGGTCGCTTCACCAGAGAACACTCGCGTCCCAGACAATGGCACGATCGTGGGCGGCACAGCGTATGGGAATTCAATATCTACTCACCCCGTAGCTGGGGTTATCTCGCGCTTGGGGATGTTTAAATTTCGTCAGGTATCGGTACTTTTACTCATTCGGTACCGAGCATCGCCGAGTACCAATGTTATGCTCCTTGCAACGCCGATCACTTACGTTTCGCATCTCACGAGAGAGAGAGAGGAGAAAAAAGAGAAAAATCTAAAAAGCAACTCAACGAGAAATGATAATTAGAAGAATAATTTGACGTTGTTAAAATACACGTAGGCCGAGGTAATAAAAGAGAGTGAGAAGTAAAACTCAAATTTGTTCGCTGTCAGCAGAATAAAGGATCATGAGCACACCCTACCCCATAGACTCGTAGAATAAACTGCGCACTCTTACGAGACGACTGATGACAAAATTGAAGAGCAGAGATGCGCTAGTCAAATGTTTTCTCTGTTATTATACATAGTACTCAAGTGCACGTATTACTCATTTAAGTGACGAGAATTCTCGTCACGTCGATAGTGAAGGGAGTTGATGGCTATTATTTGAAAGTTGCCTAGCGTGAGATACTCAGATTTCTATTTTATTTAGAGTTTATTATTATAGGAGTTACTACACTGAAGGAAAAGTTACTTTAAAATCAACAAATATTTCTTTAATGGGTGCCATTAACATATTTATTTAAATCTAAATTCTTTTTATTTAAACCAAATGTTGTTTACTTAAATCAGGTAAACAATATTTAATTTAAATAAAGAGAATTTAGGTTTAAGAAAATATGTTAATGGCACCCATCGAAGAAATATTTGTTAATTTTAAGGTAATTTTTCCCTCAGTGTACATAGAGTCTAAGAGGAAGCGATATAGAAGAAATAAAAGAGAGAGCAAAAAAAGACAATTAGATAAAGATTAGATAAGATTAGATAATTACATAAAGAAAAAATATTCCTTACTTTATATTGCCCTCTTACTAATGCTGACTTCATCCCTCCTACGGGATCACGCCTGCGGCAATGCGCAATCTATTCCATATCCCTATAACCCTCTCTTCAATGGCTAGTGGTGTGCGCATCCGCATCCTCTAAATTTCGCGATGCAAAGCGCAGCGTGTTCCATGCATCGTGCTCAAATGGAATGCATAGATATGGCGAGACTACGCGGCTATTCTTAAGGAGATGCGTATCCTGACAATGAGACTCGTGGGCGGCGTAGGACTCACGTACCGAAATGGTCGCGGTGCCGCGAGAGATACCGATATATATCGAACCACGTGCGCTATTTTCATTTCTAACAATACCGCGAGATAAATTCTCGCCGTGCCGCGAAATAACGCCGGTAACAGCGAATATCGTCCTATGAAGTCCATACGCGCCGTAAAATCGCGCAACGACAATACACGCATACACACGCATACACACGCGCGGATGGGAATTACTCTTCGGCCATAATTGCCGTAATTATGCGAGAGTGGTGCATTCGTTCTATCGTGAGGGAAATTAGAAACGTGTCAGGTCAAAAAGAACTTTTTCTCAAGGAGACCTTCGCGAGTTCCCGCAACATGTTCATTGATATCACCGTAAATTTAGAACATGGTTTCTCGTAGCGTTATTCGCTCGAGAAACTTTTGGTTTTCCGATTCGCGACCACGGGCAATCAGGTTCTCTTGCGCGAGAACAGACAAGAGAGAAGAGTCGGCCGTCGACGACCGTGACAGGACTCGGATGATTTTTTTCACGACCATCCTTGGTCTCTCACGGGCGGCCCACGCCGCGTCGCGCATCGTCGTCCTACATGACGTTCGCGGTACCTCAATGTGTCCGGTCGGTTATCGGCTAAAGGGACCATTAGCATTATCTGTCCCGGGAGGATGTATTATTACCGCTGCCATATTATTACCGGCGAGTCTGTCGACGATATGTCTCTGCGCGGTAGCGAAATAAGATTGCCGGCGGTAACTCTTTAGCCGCGCGCAAATTGCGCGGCCGCCGCGGTACTTTGCACTTTCGGCCTTGTCTCTCCGTATATCGATGCCGGCGCATCGAGTGGCACGATTATTCATCCGTATCAAGGTGAGCCTCGCGTCTCGTTATTGTTTCATTATACTATCCGCAAGATCATTAAATCGCGAGCCTTTTATTTGTCCCACGATGAAGGCGGAAGCTAACGAATAATTATAAAAAAAGAAAGAGTATAATTATACACGGAAAAGAAGGTTTGGTTGAATTAACCAAATATTTGGTCGAATATGAACGATCCAGAAATTCCGATTAAAGTAACTCAAATTCTACTTAAGTTAACAAGATTTTTAGTTGACTTATGATTGTTTCTACCAACTTTGGTTAACTTAACCGATTGGTTTTTTCAACAGAATTGACAAATCGCATCTGTTAATTCTGACAAAGAGAAATGCAATTGGTCAATTCCGTTGGAATAACCAGCCAGTTAAGTTTAGCAAAGTTAGTAGAAACAGGCATTAAACAGAATTCGGGTTACTTCAATCGGAATTTCTGGATCGTTTATATTCGACCACATATTTGGTTAATTCAACTAAACCTTTTTTTCCATGTAAAGAGAAAAAGGAAAAGAAATATTGTTGTTCCCGCCGCAGATGCCGTGGTGGTAGCGCTCTCGGGGAGGATGTTCCACGGGGGCGGAAGTGGCGGGTACGGCGCAGGTTCCGACTACCAGCAACAGTCTCAGCAGCAGCAACAACACGGGCAACAACTCCAAGCGCCCGTCTACGTTCCCTCGTCCAGGCCGGCGATTCCATCCGCAGCAACGGCGGCGCAATATCATTCTTTCCCCACTTCTGCCTCGCCCGCATGGTACGTAATCTACTTTTCCGTACTCTTGCACAATAACCCCGTAAAAAGGCTAGCGCCTAGCACCCTAGTTCGGCGATAGTTTTATTTGCACGACACGCAGTGTTGCGGAAACTATTGCAAAGCTACACGGAAAGAGAGCACAACTTCGTTAGTGTGACTGAATTTTTTGTTACTCGGACACCAAATTGGTTATAAAAGCAGAATAATTCCTGTGCGCCAGGGAGATTTCTATTCACACGGAGAAAAATAATTTTGCTCTTTTAGCAAAATCGTCGTTGCTACTGCATATTCGTAGTGACATCAAAAAAATTTAGTTGACGTAACTAATTTAGTTGACGTAACTAATTTTACAAATTATTCGTTATCAGAGCAGAAATAGTTTCGTTGCTAGGATAGAAAAAATTTGTTGAGTATATTTGTCCTAAAAATCACGTTAATTTACTATTGATGCAAAATGTATCCTTAGCAAATTGATTTACTATCGGAGCAAAACTGCAACTGCTTATATAAATCTATCATGGTTAGCAAAATAATTTGTAGATTCAGCAAATTATATCCGGCAAATAGTGATTAGTACTCTTAGCAAGTATTTTTGGTGCCCATATAATAACGAAAAAATTTTGCTAGACTAGAAAAAAATTTGCAGAGCCAGCAAATTATTTTTCTTCGTGCGATTAGAATGTATCCATATTTATTATATAGAAAATGAAGAAATAGAAATACAAAAGAAATATGAAAAAAATTTGCCCCAAACAATATGTTATGATAAATGTAACATGAAAATCCGAATACAACTAAAACTATCGTGATAATCATGAAAATCTATCTGGGTTCGTTTGCGGTAACAGAAATATTATTTCTTGTCAGCGAATTCCTACATGTTTCTTTCAACTTGCATTCCAATCAGGATAATTGCATTTCCTCTAACAAAGAGAATAACAATCCGGAGAATAACGGAATAATTCCGGTCGAAATCAATTAGGGCACATAAATTTCCATAACCGTAGACGTAAGACGTAAACTTAAACTGAAGAACTAATCAGCTTTATCTTTGCGTACTCTAAAAGAAAATAGAACTGACAGTAAAACTGAATGTTATGCAGAAGTAACTAGAATCTAACCGGTTGAAATTCTAATGACTCAGTCTAAGTTCTAATTACATATACGTTAGTATGCAAAGATAAAGTAATATCCTAGTTAGTTCTTCAGCTTAAGGAGACTAGAAGGTAAGATTGTCTGAAAATCGTGCTTGTTCTTTCACAATTTTTTATGACAAACTGAATGAATATGCGAAAGTGTTATTTTGACGTGTATTTATACAACATATAAAGAGAAGGAAAATTTTGATAATCAAATACTCAATATAAGTGTATGATATATGCAGTTAAAATATATTTTTTTTTCTTTTCAAGGTCATCATTTTCAATAATATCTTGACTCTCAGTGGTTCAATTAAGCTGAATTTTAGGTAGAAAATTTCCGTAAATTTGTCGTTATCGTGCGAACTACTATAATAGAAATTGAGTAAAAGTTAACAAAATTGCAAATATCTTAATGAAATATTATTAAATTTTCAGTTATTTTATAGTAAAAAAATTAATATTTCAAAATTAAATATTTTCAAGAATTTGTCAGTGGTTCCGAGATAGATTGATGTAGGTAAACTTGACAACTTTAAGTACATTAAATCACAAAACTTATATAAGCCCCTTACGATCGCATGGAGAAAAATAATTTTGCTCTTTTAGCAAAATCGTCGTTGCTGCATATTCGTAGTGACATCAGAAAAATTTAATTGACGTAACAAATTTTACAAATTATTCGTTACCAGAGCAGAAATAGTTCACATATTCATTCAGTTTGTCATAAAAAAATTGTGAAAGAACAAGCACGACAGGCAATCTGACCCTCCAGTCCCCTTAAGTTTACGTCTGCGATTACGAAAATTTGTGTGCGGGAGCCTTTGCGAAGAGTTCCATAATATATGCCCTCGCCTCCACACAATTTCGCGTACACACGTTACGAACGAGAGTGCTAACGGGAGACGATCCGACCGAAGGGAGAAGACGACATCCTGGCAACACGGAGTGGAAACGTACGCGGCGCACCACGCGCTCGCCGGTCACACGAGCGGCACCGCGGCGGCGATGGGACCGCACGCGGGTCACGGCCATACGCACGCGGGGCATCCGCACACGGCGCACCCTCATTCCTCCCTAGCCGCGGCCTCACCATTCTACGCACCGAACGTCGCGATGATGTCGACCTGGCGGACCTACGACGGCGCCGGCTTCCAGCGCGCATCGCCTTATGGTTCGTATGATACGTGCACGGAGAAAAATAATTTTGCTTTTTTAGCAAAATCGTCGTTGCTACTGCATGTTCGTAGTGATATAAAAAAAAATTTAGTTGACGTAACTAATTTTACAAATTATTCGTTATCAGAGCAAAAGTAGTTTCGTTGCCAGGATAGAAAAAATTTGTTGAGTGTATTTGTTCTAAGAATCATGTTAATTTGCTATTGATGCAAAATAATGTATACTTAGCAAATTTATTTGCTATCGAAGCAAAACTGCAACCGCTTATATAAATCCATCATAGTTCTTACAGCAAAATAATTTGTAGATTCAGCAAATTATATCCAGCAAATAGTGATTAGTACTCTTAGCAAATCTTTTTGCTGTCCATACAATAATGAAAAAATTTTGCTAGACTAGCAAATTATTTTTCACCGTGCGGACTCTTTGAGAGTCTTGTAAGGCGATGATTTGGCCGCAATATTAACTGTACAAAGCGTACTTTCGCACAATTGAACAATCGTCAAACTGATCCTGAATTCTAATTTTTAATATTAATATTCAATCAAGGAAAAGATTTCGCTAGATTAGCAGAAAATTTGCTGGGCCAGCAAATTATTTTTCTCCATGTGTTCTAAGAATCACATTAATTTGCTATTGATGCAAAATAATGTATACTTAGCAAATTTATTTGCTATCGGAGCAAAACTGCAACTATTTATATAAATCCATCATGGTTCTTATAGCAAAATAATTTGTGGATTCAGCAAATTATATCCAGCAAATAATGATTAGTACTCTTAGCAAATCTTTTTCCTGTCCATATAATAACGAAAGATTTTGCTAGACCAGCAGAAAATTTGCTAGGCCAGCAAATTATTTTTCTCCGTGTGATTAAGCACTTTTCTTTATACTATTTTAAAGTAATATAAGGATTTTAAAGTAATATAAGGATAATATAAGAGGATAATATAAGAGGATAATATAAGAGGATAATATAATTTATTAATATTAAAAATTAGGATTCAGAGTCGGTTCAGGTTTCATTCATTGTACGTTATAAAGACTGAAAGTTATCAGATATATTCTGTCAAACATTATTAACCTCTCAACAAAAATATCCTCTTCAACATCTGAATTCGGCTCTCACTGACCTAAAATATGTTTAATTAAAGTTGTGTACGTCGAAAAACATTTGTATAGAATTATTCAAACTATTAAGGCTTTGAAACTCGAACGCTACCTGCTCACGCGGATATCCGTCGGCGCTCGAGCTCACCGCGCTACGTGCATCACGCGTGAAGTCGCGATGATAAACAAACGAAAATTATGTGAACTACCCGTACGCCGCGGCGATAAGATACGTGCGGTAGAGGCATGCAATTTTCTACGGCTGTGCCGATTAGTTTATCGAAACCGCGGACGATATCAGGAGAGACGAGCGAAAGGGTACCCGTGGAATTTCCAAGCGGAAAATTTATAGCACTCGGTGCCTTCTTCCTTGGCGAGTATATTTTTGTTTGCCGTCAATCAGCCGCGGAGAATCCCCAACCGGGTCTATTCAATTTGCACTTCCCCTATGTAAATCACGCGCGATAAATAAAGAGCGATCAGCCACAGACGGACTCGCCGCGAAAAATTCGCACATCGCGAAAAATTCGTCCGCATCGATTCGCATTTGAAGATCATCGCGCGCACTTTTTGCAGTCCGGCACCGGTAATTTACGAGGTTCTCGGAAAAATTGTGGACGGCCTCTCAGCGCAGTGCGGAAAGGAGCGGCCGATAACGCCATCGGATAACTCGCGATAACGCCACGCTGGCGGCGACGGCGGCGGCGGCGGCGGCGGCGGCGGTCAGGGAAAACGCGCACCCGGGAGAGAGAAACTTTCCTCGCGGATGCTGCTGCTCGTCGACGGATGCACGCGGCGGGCCATGTGCGATGGATAAGTGATAGCGGCGCCTTTGAAGCGAGCCGGATCGGTCGATCCCCGCGGTCAAGTGTTTTACGGCGCAGCGTCGAGAATCGGGTTCAGAACGGCGGCCGCGCGGATGCTTTCTCCGAGAGTACGGGAACCGTCGGTCGCGCGGCATTCTCCGCCGCCGCCGCCACCGCCGCCGCTCTGCCTCGTTGCTGTCTAACTTTAAATAAACTCCACGGCGGGCATCCTCGAGAGACTCGGGAGATAAGACGTTAAGAGCGGTTTTATCCCGTCAGCTCACCGCGAGAGCACAAAAACGATCCCCCTGTCTCTGCCTCCCCCCCCCCC